GCGGCGTGTGGCTGAACTGGGTGAGACAAAATAGCTTAGGCACAGAGGAGGGAGCCCTTCTGTGGAGAGACCAAAGGGAGAGGAAGAGAAGCTGTGGACCCCGGTACTGTTAGGACAAGAGAAAACCATCTCCCCACCTTGAACTGCGGAACGAGAAATAAGAGTGCCGGTTTCTACTTTGCAAACAGCCTTAGGAGCTGAAGATCAGAGTTGTCAAAAGTGCGTGACCTTCCTCCAGAGCGATGCCAAGCCGCCCTGTGTGGCCGCCTGGCGGGGAGGGAGCCGGCCCCAGAGAGAGGCAGCGATCTCAGGGGAGCACTGGGAGAGGACAGTCCCCTCCCTCGAGTACTGTGGGAATAGGGCGTATCACCCCACAAAGGACAAAAGACCCCGCAGGAGCCAGCCAGAGGTGGAGTGGCACTACCCTAGATCCGGTCCATGCAGCGAGGGACCCAAGACATGGGTGTGAATGCCAGCTGAGCGCCTAGGAGGCGGGGGACACTGCGGTGCAGGACAGGTGACCACCATGCTACTCTGTGATGGCAGCCTGAGCAGCGTGGTTTGAGACACCGGGTCTGGGGAGGAGAGACTGGGGTGTCCCCATTTTTCCCCCCATCACCAACAGGGTGGGACTTCCGGGAACAGGACACCCGTCCCCAGTAGAGGAGGGACCTGCGTACACCAAACACCACCCCTCCAAGCCCGGTAACCGCTAATCTACAAGAATAGGATTGACACTGAGTGAACCAAAGCTTACAGAAATGTGTCCCTTCAAAAGCAACGGAAGAAACTTATCCCTTCGAGAGCATAGGAAGAAATGTAAGAATTGAACAATAATGGCTCAAACAATATAAAAGCAATTGTGAAAGTCTGTTGTGGGTGGAACTGTGTCTCCCAAAAAAACACGTTCAAAACCTTTGTACAGGGGCGCCTGGGAGGCTCAGTCGGTCAAGCGTCCGACTTCGGCTCAGGTCGTATCTCACGGTTCGTGGGTTCAAGCCCCACGTTGGGCTCTGTGCTGACATCCAGCTCAGAGCCTGGAGCCTGTTTCAGATTCTGTGTCTCCCTGTCTCTCTGACTCTCCCCTGCTCACGCTGTGTCTCTCTCAGAAAAAATAAAACATAAAACAAAAAAGAAAAAAGAAAAACCTTTGTACAAGTCCTTTGTACCTGTGACTGGACCTTATTTGGAAATAAGATATTTGGGGGATATAATTAAGATGTACGGTGAGGATGAGGTCATACGGGAGTAGAGGGGGCCCGTAAGCCAATGTGACTTCTATCCCTATCATAAGAGAAGAGACACAAGAGACACATAGGAAAACCCAGAGGGAAGACGGCCCTGTGATCATAGAGGCAAAGACTTGGAATCATGCAGCTATATATAGACCAAGGAAAAGTAAGAATTTCCAGCAAGAAGAGGAGGGGAGAGCATGGGTCTGCAGAAACCTTCATTTCAGATGTCTAGCCTCCAAAAGTGTGGGGCTCCATTTGAACCATCTAGTTGCTTCGAACCATCTAGTCTGTGGCCTTAGTAAACAAATACATGTATAATCCTAATTTACAATATTCAAACTTGTGGAAGAATCTTTTGATGGAGCTATTTTTCACTGAATACATTTATATTTTGGAATGCAATGGCATAGAATGGCCTGTATTTACTACATCTAAACATGGCAAGATATTTGAAAAGTCATAAATAGAAACAACTTGATGACATGTAACATAAGGATTTGTCAAATAAAGGAACTCTGAAAGGAGACACCAAGACAGCAACTGTGAAACTACTTAGGCTAAAATATCTTTACATTTCAATATGAAAACAACTAGAATTGAGACTATGTTCCATTCAGCAGTTTGCTCTGAGCTCTCCAGGTGCTTTAGTATCTGCAGAGAAAGTACTTTCTTGAAAACTAAAAATACTACTGTCTGAAGAAAAAAAATAATTTGCAACTCAAAAAAAAACTGCATTACACTTAATTTTATGCCATTACACTTAATTTTAAAGTTAAGTGTAAGATCACTTTTTTTCTAGAAAATGATCAGTATCAACCTATTAAAGATATGGCAAAGAAACTAATTCAAGTAAGTATACATACCAAGAATTCAGCATGTGTTAAAAGTTAGTAGTCACATAATTAACATTAAAAATTAAATATATTATAAAATTAAGATCAGCATTTTCAATTGTTTTAATATATAAGGACATATAACCATTTAAAATGTGAATTTTGAAGATACTTTTGAATAGAAGTCTTTTATAGGTCCTAATATATTTACAAATCAATAAATATTCCAAATATGTAATTTTCATTACTTTAACATCTCTTTTTACTCTTAAAAATGTTGTTAGGTAGAAAAATTATATAGTCAACATTGCCATTAATACACACCAAAAGTGCAGTCAATTTGACTTTGGTATTTTTCACAAGATGCACCCTGTCATTACTTGCTCAGGCAACATTTCCTGAAAAGGTAATCTTGCCAGGACCCCCCAAGAAGGCAGGACATACAGCTCTCTATTTAACCATTCTCCCCTCATTGCCGGGCTGGCACTAAAATGTGGCTTTATTAAAAAACAGTAAGTCACAGCGGGGGAGTGGTAATAGGGCAGGATAATGCTGTATAAATTACTTCCCCCAAGCCAAAAGTCAGCCCGGGTTCACCATTAATAGTGTAAAAGGAGATTTCAAAATGGAGCAAGCAAGCCTATGATTTTACAGTTGGGTGGAGAAGCCACAAGGGAGGAGGAATTTATGGAGCACCTCATTGGAGGAACTATGAACTTTCCATCAGCTATGAGCCCTCTGCCTAGACTTAACTTCCTCCTCACCCAGACACCTGAATTGTTCCTTTACTTTGGAAGAAGCCAATGGAGATAACAAACAAGCATCATCCCTTATTGGCATATTAACCCAACCAATCTAAATTAACCTAGTTTCAATCTCTGTTTTGTATCAAGGACCTAAATAAGAACTGCAGTTGTGACTTTTTTTTTTAACTCCGTCCCCTCTTTTGTCTTCTTCACAACAGGAGTCAGATTTCTAGCTGAATCTGGGTCTCCCAAACGGCAGTTCTAATTGCCCAAATAAATGTCTGTTTGCTTACATTTCCAGTAACAGGAGCTAGAATATGGTGGGACAAGTCACTTAACTGCTCTGAAAGGAATGAAATTTCCTCATCTATATAATGGAAATGTCCTCTGTTTAACTTCTAGAAAAGGGTTTGGCTAAAACTTGATTGGCTGATTGGCAAAAATTGCTCTTTTAAGTGCCAGATGGAGCCATTCTCAAGTAATCTAGAGAAATATGAAACCAGAAAGCCACCATTTAGTTTTGTTTCCAGGAGCTTGTTTATTTATATATATTTTCCAGGAAATAAACTGTAAGTATCTTCATCTATGGTTACTAGAACTAAATGTAGTCTTTAATTAACTAAAGCAAAATAGTAAATTGAAGGAAAAAAAATCACTACTTTTCCTGGATATCAAAATACTCCTTCACAAAACAGTAAAATAACAACAAATAAAGTCTACCCAAGATCCCGTGTATTTACTTTGTATACTTGACACCCTGTGTCTGCATCTAGGTTCCAATCTCATTTTCAGCCGCAGCTGTAATTAGAGCTGCAGTGGACTGTTTTATGATCTATAAAGACTAACAGTCTAATACAACCATTAGCAATTCAAATTTCTCTGCAGGTCATACCATAGCTTAATCACTGTGTATTTTAGGGCCTCAGATGGAGATCTTGAGTTTGAATGAATAGAAATGAAACCCAAGGGAACTAGGACAAAATAATTATGCATGTAATAAAACCAATCACTAGCACTAGGAAGCCTTTTGAAGTAAATAAAATTTTTTAAGTGCATGAATACTTACGAATGTTAAGTTTATGGTCTTTTACAATCATTTCATCTCATATCCTAAAATACTGTACATACATCTTAAAGTTATTTTATCAGAAATTATGCTTTGGTTAATCAGTAAAAACATACCTAAAAGTAAGCTCTTTTCATCATGCGTAATTGTTATTCAATGTTGCAATTTAACTCTTTCAGGACCCTAATGCATAAATCAGAGCATCAGTACCTACCTAAACAACATCTACGCTCTTTCAGAATCTTAGATACTAAGCTTTGTACCATAAGAAACTTTGGGCAGTCTGCTCAATCATACGGACAGCTTCTCATAACAATCTTTTGAATGTTTAATATAAAATACACAGGTTTGCAAGTTTTACTGAAATATTGTGATCACATTTTTTTAAGCATTAAAATAACAGCATCTAAGTGGCAGGTCTAATAACTACCATAACAGCGGTGATGAACGTATATAATATTTTGAAATCTCTGCAACAACTCCGTAATGTTAAAGAATCTCTGGCTTTTACTGGCAATATCTCAAATACTGCTAATATTACTGTGGTTTGTTGCCAATATTCACAACTGAAGAAAATGTGGAATTTGTTAGAGGTTAGTGATGTCCCATCTAAGTTTATGGATCCCCTAAAATGTATCCAGAAAGTCTCAGGTTAAGAAATACCCTTCATTAGGGGAATCTGACAAGATCATTTTTTTCCTGACAAAATGATTTTCAAGATTTAGATGCAAAATAAGCTTTCTTGATTCACAAAATTTCTACGACATTTGACAAATGATTTCAAAAAGAGGAACAACAATAATGAGATCTGTCAACCATTCCAAATTACTTAAAGAGCAAAGAACTGGGTAGACTGTTCAGGTTCAAACCCTGTCTTCACCATTTATTTACTGTTAACATGGGCAAGTCATTTACTTTCTCTAAGCTTCAATCACACAATCTGGTAATTAGGAATAGCAAGTCTACTTCAGCAGCTGTGAGGATAAAAGGATATACTTACGCAAAAATCTCAGCAAAGTGCTTAGCAGAGTCAAGGCTCACTAAACATTAGTAAGACTTTATTTTTCAACAACATACTGGATTACTTAAAGGCAAGATGATATTCATTGCAGTTATTCATAAATAACCAAAGTGGGGAGGGGACATCTAATTTAAACTATATATGCCCTAACTTTAGATATGAATCTTTGGGTAGTCTTTTGGTTTTAGGCACACTCTATAATGTAATTACAGAAACCGACATAGACTATTTTCAGATCATGAAGTGAACAGATCTTCTTGGTATGATGTTGACAAGAACATGACCTGAATCTGAGAGTAAATGATTTTGTATGTTCTAAGAACTAGACATTAAACAACAGCAAAATGGTTATGTAAGTTATGACCAATGGACTTAATACAATATAATGTAGCCAATAAACTGTTAACAAAAACATTAGCAACAAAAGAAATGCACAATGATGTAATGTCAAATGGAGCAGCTGGACAAGCCTTCTTGGATAATACCCAACCCCGAGTTCTCTGACACTAATTCAGTTTTATACTATGTTCCATTCTGACCACAAAATTTTCTCTTTTAGGGATTTTTTTTCTGGTCCAAATTGCACTTAACAGCAAATCTCATTTATTACTAATCATTAATTTATCCCACTCATTTGACATTTCAAATGTCTCCCAAGTTCCTACCCCCTTATACCTCACTCTCTAAGCCCAACTATCTTTAAAAACTGTCATTGGGCTCCATGGAATTCCATTAAGAGTATGTGACCATGGAAAATTAAGTGGTGTTTTGTTTTTTCCCTACCGTTTTTATCATCCCATCAAGGTATTGACATGAAAAAAGATATCATTTGAAAAACAAAGATTCAGGTCATTAAAGATACTGCAAAACTATTCCTCAAACCATGACTAAGTAACAAGATCTGAGATTAATAGAAGTCTTTTTATCATCTATTGATAAAAGAAAACTTGGTTTTGGAGACATTACATTAGAACACATTATCTCTGAACAGCTGGGCTACAGAGAACTCAGATATAAGGTAGTAAATGGTGAAATATTTAGGTTCTAAATTTAAAATGACATTAACAACTGCTTAGAAATCAACACCGTAGCCAAACACCTGTCTCATTAGATAGGTAAGGCATTAAGATAGGAAAACCACACAATCACATTTTCCAATAAAACAGGATTTTGAGAAAATGCTTTTGCTAGTCATTGGAATTCTTATCCTGGTTGAAATCAGTGTAAAAATCAGCTTTAGTAAAGGTCCTAACTGGAGTCTGGGTCCTTCAAGCTTCACAAAGGATAGAAGGGTCTTCAAATCAATTAATTCTATTGCAGAGATAGAAACATTCAATAAGTACTAGAGGGGAGAATCTGAATAAAAATGAACAGCCTTACTGATACACTTTAGTCTTTTTTCAATTATTAAATTAAACTATCCCGTTTACAAGCTATGAATATTTACCTAACATATCCAGTATCTTTTACTAGCTTCAAATTTTTTTTTTTTTAAATTCTGGTCTAGCTACAAAATTTATAAAGCCATTGGCAATGAGACATAAAGGAAGGTGAAAGTTTCTTTCAAGAGCTGTAGGCTGGTACACAAAATAGCATTTTCGCAGGAGTGGGTGCCAAATTTATGGGGAAATTATGATTTTAGGAAATCACATTGCAATAGGATAAACATGAAATAAACTCTTAGGATATCCATTTAATTAAGAAAATGACTTCAGGTGGGATATCTAAAGCAGCATTTGGGAAGCCCTTGTTTCAGGATACCTGCAAATCTGCTTTGGCCTTGCATTAATGTACAGTGCAGTACAGTAATGTAACCTCCCGTCCAAATGGGAACCGCTGATGCCTAGCTCCATACCCTGAAAGCACTGGGCCAAAGACTCATGTGATATTGATAATCCAATGACATGCTGAGTTGTACACTCACACAGCAAGGCAAAATAGTACAAATTTAATTGCTAAAATTTTTTTATTTTTAACTTTTTGGCTGTTTAGGTAATTCATTTCAAGGAACAATAACGGGCAACAAATAGAGGGGCTTATTTATTTTGTGGATGTTAAATATATTTTCTTCCAATTAATAATATCTAATTTCTCATAAGTTAAGAAAAAAACTCACTGTAAATTTTAAAAATAAGAGAAAACTCAAATGACACTTCAAGATTCTCTAATTTTCAAATTCTGTCAAAGATTATTTCTTGAAATTCCAATTAAAAAAACTTCATTAAAAAAGTACTTATATGTTCCACTATCACAGGTTATCTAGTCAAAATTGTGAAAAATAATCAAAAATGCTTCTTCATTTTCATTAAAGGCTCCATATAGCTCAGAAACTGGTAATCTGTTAATTTAGAACAGTCAATACTGGGGAAGGAGTTTATCAAACTCAAAGATAATTTTCAGTAAAAATAACACTATAAGGCTCAAAGTTCAAGTCAAAAGGAATGATATCAGATTTAAACTACATTCATTGCCTAAGAACTAGACAACCAGTGTTTAACTATGTATTTTTAAAAAGATGACTGAGGATGGGGACAAGTGGGGAGGCAGACAGTGGCGACCTCTGGAAGATGGAATCTCTTCTCTCTGCTGGTCCTAGAAGAGAAAAGAGACACCAATAAGCATCAACACACTGTCCGAACTCCTCCCCACCCGAGACCCAGCAGTCCACAGGTGTTTCTCAACCTGACAGCCAACTTCACCTTCATATATGGTATTCAGTGCCAAGAGGATGTCAAAACCACCACCCTAACCTAACCTGATTAGGGCTGCCTTAAGAAAATAAAAAACTAGGGGTGCCTGGGTGGCTCAGTGGGTTAAGCATCTGACTTCAGCTCAGGTCAGGATCTCACGGTTCATGGGTTGGAGCCCCACATTGGCTGACAGCCAGCTCAGAGCCCGGAGCCAGTTTCAGATTCTGTATCTCCCTCTCTCTCTGACCCTCCCCTGTTCATGCTGTCTCTCTCTCTCTCTCTCTCTCAGAAGTAAATAAAACATTTAAAAAAAGAAAAAACTATCCAAAGTACTATTTATAACTATCATCTCTACCAAAGGGGGCTAAAGGCAGCTGGACTGAAAGTATAAGGAAGTATTCCTTATATTAAGAACAGCTTTCCAAAATTATTGCACTCAACTATTTTAAATTATAAAGAGACCATTAAATATAATCTAAAAGATCTGAATGATCCCTTTGCTTGCACACATTTTCATGAAACAAGTGGCTATAAGGAAATATTTGGGTTGTAACTGTTGTGACTCTCAGTCAATGAACAGGGAGAGGATGGGGTGATGGGTCCTTCACATCAAGCTGACAAAGGGAAATTCATTGACTTCTACAATTTGGGAAAGATTATCCTCACTCTGCAAAGAAGCTCTAGAACAAATGAACCTCGAAAAATAATTTTATCTAAAGAGAGTGGCTAGAGTACATAATACTTTGAATTCTGCAGTTCAAACAGAATTCTACAGAATCTGCTTTCCCTAGGTAGTACACTCGGTAATTCCAAGCCAACTGGCAAATTCTTTCAGGCACCATACAGCTTCCATAAACAGCACTCAGAATCAGTTATTTTCTCACATCTTTGTGAAGAGCTCACCACTAGAAACACATCTAAAGTAAACCCAATATAAAATATTCTTTTTTATTTTAGTCACTCAAGACTAAGACAAACATATGTATAAAATGGTGAGTTAATTAATTAAAATGAAATAAGTTGTAGCTACGTTTGCACATTATTATTAGTTTCTTCCAAGTATTGTGCTGCTCACTGGGGATACAAAAAGATAAATAAGATACAATTTCTGAGCTCACAGAACTGCAGTGAACATGCATTACTGGAAGCCCTGAAAGTCTGAAAACTCAACCTCTTCTGAACTCACTGGCTCTGGGTCAGGGGAATGTATTTTTAGATTCTTAAGTCTAAGTTTGCAACTGCAACAAGTAGATGACGGAAAAGCGAAGAGTCCGGGGATACCACTGCATAGAAGAGTTAAAACCATACCAAGTTATGTACATGCAGTGCACTAGCCGGCAACGGGGTCCAAAGAGATGCAATGATTCTAAGACTGGCTAACTTCAGTGTAAGATTGAAGAAGTTCGGGAAGCATCATACAGAAAAACGACTGAGAAATCAAGATGATGTTGGACTTTGTGAAATCACTACGAATTTTAGAGCTAAATAAGACCTCAGAATTCCCAATAACAAAGGAATTCAGAATCTCATACACTGGTAAACCACCTCAACAATGCCCACTCCTTTGTTTACAAAACACAACAATAACCAAAACAAAGCAACTCCTAGAAACGAGCCGACAACCTATTTTTAGGGCACCTTTCCAGAGGGCCTCAAACGTCTTCCTAAATCACTCCATTGTACCTGCTCCAAAGTAAGAATATTCCGGCGCCAGAGCCCAAGGCCGACCTCGACCAAGTTGCCCGACTTGAGGCCGGCGCGACCAGCCGCGCGGCCCGCAAGGTCAAGTTCGGAGCCTAGGCAGGCCCCGACCCCCCAGCCCCCCCCCGCCCCGTGGCGTCCGGGCTGCCCGAGCCTCTGGCCTGACACGGGAGACTGCGGCCGGCGCCAGCAGCGCACGCCCCGCAGCCCCTCCCGCAGCCCGAGGCTCCGAAGGCGCGGGCATCCACACTCGAACACAGCGAGCGTCCGGGGCGCTCGTACCTCACGCCGCTGCTCCGAAAACCCCGGAGCCCGCAACCGGCTGCTCGCGGCACCCCTAGGGGCGGCACGACGCACCCGTCGAGCGTCAACACGCGGCCCAGGCGACGACGGAGCAGGGAAAAGCCGCGGCCAGGCACTGCCATGGCCGCGAATCGCCGGCTTCCGGACGGAGACTCCTCCTCTCGCCGCTGCGGTCCTCGCAGCTGCAGGCCGGGCTCCGCCCCCCACCCGGCCGGGCGGGAGAGCGGGTCCCTGCCGCAGCGGGTTCCGGGCGCCATGCGGGGGCGGGGCCCGGAGCCAAACTCCGGACTGGGGGCGGGGCCGAGACGCTGGGAGGCGGGGCCAGGAACCAAACTCTGAATGGGACGGGGTGAGACCGAAGACACTCCGGGACAGGCAGGGGCGGGGCCACAACCCTAGCCACAGGCTGTGCGAAGTGTGGGGGTTGGGGGGAGGCCGGGCGTCTCTGAGACTGGTGGTTTGCGGTGTGACTTCTCACCCGCCTGACACATCTTTGATCTTCCTATAGAGAGGAACAGGTAAGGCGTCTGAGCTAAGCAGTCCAAGCAGCACGCCTTCTTTTTCCCTAGCCAGAGTTCTGGCCGACCACCTCCGAAGCTATGTGATTTAAAGCCGGAAGGATGTTACTGTTTCTTTGTTTCCTACCCCCATAGTAGGATCTCGGGATACCTAGCAAGGAGATGGAGCCTGAAAACAAAGATGTGAGTGTGTGGAGAGAGGAAGGAGACCTGGCTGAAAAAGACCTAAACTTTATGATTTCTGTTGTTCTGCCTTATCTCCATTTTTGGAAGGAAAAAATGACCAATGTCTATCATATTCCAAAGTTTATGACCAAGTTAACATAGCCTGGGAACCTGCATTGTCCGGTGAATTGACAACTCATAAGAAAGCAAAATATCAACTACCTCTGGAAAAGTGAAAATCAGACATTCACTATGCTGGGATATGTTTAAAGGTAAACTGAAGCAGACTTTTAAAAACTAAGTTTTTTTTTTTTTACATTTTTAAAATTTATTTCTGAGAGAGAGAGACAGCCATGAGTAGGGGAGGGTCAGAGAGAGAGGGAGATACAGATCCTGAAACAGGCTCCAGGCTCTGAGCTGGCTGTCAGCACAGAGCCTCTGGGGGGTAACCCACGAACTGTGAGGCCATGACCTGAGCTGTAACCAAGAGTTGGATGCCTAACCGACTGAGCCAACCAGGCACCCCTCTTTTCACTTCTTAGTGTAAGGAGGATATTTTTCATATGAGAGATTTGTTTCCTGCTTTTAAGGAGACAGAGGAGGGGCTGAATGTCTTGTATTAGTCAGTTACTTAAGTAATTTTTATTTAATATGCCAAATTCTTCCCCAGGTTGCTGGATGGTGGCCTGGTCATCAGAAATGTAAGTCCTTTGAAAGTTAATCTAGATCATTGCTTGACAAGAGTGACCTACCATTTTTAGCTGTTTAACTGAGAAATACATATATTAATGTTGATTTTTATGAATCTGAGACATCACAGAGGACATGAAATGTTTTTCAACATGATTAGAGGAATTGTTTGAGGAAGAGACTTTCCCCCAAAGCACTGAATATGAAAGATTGTGACCCTGTAATCAAAAACGATCAGACTTGGATTTTAAACTATAAATCAGATTTTCTTATATTTTACTTTTCTAAGCTCAGTTTAGCTGCAAGCACAAGCTTAATTCTGGCCACTACCTCAACAACTCTAATCATTGGGGAAATGTAAATCAAACCCACGATGACACAACAATCTCACACCCATTAAGATGGCTGCTGTCAAAGAACAAAACAGAGCAGAATCAAAAAACAAGTGTTGGTGAGGATGTGAAGAAAGTGGAACCCTTTGGGGGTTCTCTTGGTGGAACCATGAAATGGTGCAGCCACTGGGGAAAACCAGTGATTCCCAGGGGTTAGGGGAGAGGGAAACAGGGAGTTGCTGTTTAATAGTTTCAACTTTGCAAGATGAAAAGAGTTCTAGAGAATGGTTACATAATAATGTGTTTGAACTTAACACTGCAGAACTATATACAGTAAAAGCCTTGCATAACTCGAGCATAATTGGTTCCAGAAACATGCTTGTAATCCAAAACATTTGTATATCAAAGTGAATTTCCCCAAGGAAATAGTGAAAACTCAGATGATTCATTCCACAGCCCAAAAATATTCACATAAAAGTGATTACGATACTGTAATATAACATAAAATAAAGAAAATATGAAATATAAAGAAAAATAAATTAATCTGCACTTACTTTGAAAACCTTCATGGCTGGTGTGAGGGAGACAAGAGAGGAGGGTTATTGTGCAGAATGACTTTCACTATCACTAAAACACGGGATCACTGCTATCTCTTGGCTCAATGGAATCTATTTCTGCATGGAGGCCATATACTGTATTTAATGTAACTGGCAATAAGGCAGCGAGGAAAGGGTCTCTATCTGCAGGCAGCCTGACCAAAATGAAGCAAAGCATTCCTAAGCTTACCCTTGTATGGAAAAGCAAAGGACTGTCCATAGCTGCTTTGAAAAAATACACTAGTACCGGTTGTGGGCGCTTTCCAACGTTCTCAAAAATCACTGATTTCTGCCAAACACCACAGCCTGACACCGAGCCGCGAGCATGGGAGGACAATCACCCCCAATCCCGCAATGAGAGAGAGAGAGAGAGAGAAGAACCATTGTCTCAGTTGTGATCATGTGACATTTGGCATCATGTATGACTCGTATTGCCAGACATTGCTCATTATCAAGTTAACATTGATTAGAAGTGTTTCCTCATCTTGGGGAACAGTCACAGAACAAGTTACTTGTAATCCAAGGTTTTACTGTACTTAAAAATGGTTAAGATGATAAATTTTATGTTATGTATATTTTACCGCAATTTAAAATTCCTTTGATGTAAAAACTAGTGACAAATATTTTATTATTAACTTAGGAATTTTTCCTCCCATTGACAGTGAATAAGACTTACCGAGCCACATTCTTAGAAAGATTTTGAATTATCAGTCTTTTAAATTTGAGTCCGTTTAGTGAGCAACAAATAATATTCACAGAAGTCTTCATTTATATTTTCTTGACCATGAATGTGTGAAACATCTGTTTTTTAGCCATTTTAATTTTCTCTTTTTCAATGGGCTTGTTTATTTTTTGTTGATATAGGAATTATTTATATTTTCAATATAGTACTTTTCTGTCACCTTCATGTGTTGCAAGTAATCAGATTTATCAATCTGTTCTTTTGTGGTTGAAGTTTACTGTAATGTTTATGCAATCTCTCCATACTTTAAGATTGTAGAGATATAGTCTTATTAATTTACTCTAGAGCTTTCAAAGTTCTGAGTTTCACATTTAAATCTCTAAGTATTACAATGTACACTGTGAGGTAGAGATAAAACTCCTGTTAAAAATGCACCAGAAGCACTCATTACTAATCCTTACCTGCAATTCCACCTCTTTCTTGGATGAGCTTTCTATATGAACATAGATCTGACCCTTCTAGCTGGCAGAATGATGTGGCAGAAATAAAGATTAGTGAACTTGAAGCAATAGAAACTAACAAAGGTAAAGCATATTTTTTAAAAAGGCTAAAATATATAACAGGGCATCAGTGAGCCTTGGGACAACTTCAAGACACCAAATATAATATAACTGGAGTTCCCAAAAGAGAGAGGACAAAGACCAAAAATCTTTTTAAAGAAATCATGGAAAATATTTTCCAAATTTGGTGAAAAGTATAAATCTACAGAACTAAGAAACTCAGTAAAGCCAAAGCAGAGGAAACATGAAGAAAACTATACCAAATTATATCATCATTAAATTGCTCAAAACCAGTGACAAAGTGAAAAAAAAATTTTTTTTAAGCTGCCAAGAGGAGAGAAAACATTTTAGTACGGAGGAATGTAGATAAGAACAGCAGGTTTCTCAATAGTTTAGCACAGTAGTACTATATGAAACAACATACACAAACCCAAGTTAGCAGTACGTCATATAAGAAGTTTTGAAATCAGTAAGTTTGAGACCTCCAACTTTGTTCTTTTTCCTTTTATCAAGATTATTTGGCTGTTTAGGGTCCCTGGAGATTCTGTATGGATTTGGGTATGGGTTTTTCTATTTCTGCAAAAAAATACTTTAGGACTTTGATAGTCATTTCATTAAATCTAGTAATGTAAATTGCTTTGGTATATTGGCATCGTAGCAGTATTAAGTTTTCCAATCCATGAACTCAAAATGCCTTTCCATTGATTTATTTCTTTAATTTCTCTCAGAAACATTTTGTAGTTTTCAGTGCCCAAGTCCTCCTTGGTTGGATTTATTACTAGGTATTTTATGTGTTTCGATGCTACTGTAAATGGAATTATCTTCATCATTTCCCTTCTGGACTGGTCATTTTTAGCAACTACTTTTGCCATAACGAGTTTCTTTGTCTGGAAATCTCATGTCTTCTGTTAGTGTTCCTGAAACTGTAGAAGGCTAACTTAGTAGATTGTAAGTAAGGCAAAATTAACTCTCTCATAACCTCTCAACTTGTCATAATACAGAGAAAAAGAAGGGATATCACCATAGATGCTAATAACAGCTTTAATGCAGTATATTTGACTACCAAAATAAAATAGACAAGTTTATTTAAAAACACAAATCATCTTAAACTGACCAAAAGGAAATTTAAAAATTTAATAACTCTATATAGATTTTAAAAAACCAATTAGTAATTAATAACTATCTGACAAAGAATCTTCAGGCTTAGTGGGCTTCACTGATGATTCCTCTCAAAAATTTAAGAAAACAATAATAGCAATCCTATGCAAATCTCTCAGAAAATAGAAAAAGGAAAACTTCCCAACTCATATGGCCACCATTGCCCTGATATCAAAACATTACAAGGAAAGCCAACTACAGACCAATGTCTCTTGACAAAATAGTAACAAAAATATTCAAAACAATAGCAAATTTAATAGCAATATGTATAAAAGTTAATATATTATGATCAAGAGGGGTTTATTCAGGGAACGTAAGTCTGGTTCAACATTCAGTTAGTGTAATTCACCATAGCAACAGATTAAAGAAGATAAAATGAGATTTCAGTAGATGTAGAAAAAATATTTTACAGAATTAAACATTTATTCATGATAAAAGTAACTTTCAGAAAACTAGAAATAGAGGGATATTCTTCAAACTGATAAAGGACATCT